CCCGGGGCCGCCCGGACAGAAACCCCGCGGCAGCCAGCGGAAAGGCCGGGCGCGCGGTCCAACGCGTGCGCACGGACAGGGGATGCTCCCTCGGCGGACCCTACCGCAGCCTTCGCGCTGCGCGCACGACGGAGCGGAGACACGCTCCCCGCTGCGGCCAGGGGTGACCTCGTTCAAAGAGCCCCACAGCTACGTGGAGAACAAACTCACTTCCTCGCCCCTCGGGAAACGCTGAGACAGCCCGGCTTGCTGAGCCGCTCCCTCCGCTTCTCTCCCGGCTATTTGTGCAGCGGATGAACGACACACGCGGTAACTCTAGGCTCTGAACCGCCCAGACAGAATCGGCCCGTAAGGTCCTGCACGGCCAGCCATCGGGCTTCTCCTCCTTCCCAAACCCACTTAACCACCCAACCCTAGGGCACAAGGGCGCGTGAAGGTCAAAGGTAGGGTGTCATCAACAGGTTGGCAGAGGAAAGGGACACATTGGAGGTAGCAGTGCATAGATTAATGTCGTAACTGACCTACTACTTGAGCGCGGGTCTGTCAAACCATACACGTTGCTGTGATGTGTGCAAATGCTGACAGGTTCTGCAGCAACAAAGCCTTCCCCTTCCAAAGGCTGGCTCTTTAGTCCTACAAATAACCATCGCCCCATGCCCCTCTAATGCATAGCACAGTATCGCACAGTTGGACTAGATGTATAATAGCCATGCCTGAGCCAGGGAGGAACATTTCTCGAAAACGAATACCACTTGCATGCAAAAACACACTCTGCTGCTCCATTCAGAGGCTGAACTTCCCTACCCACACAGATAACAACAGACGTTCAAGCAAAACAATCGGATAATTAGTTGGGATGAGGTCATATAGTCCAGACTTAATTCACTCATCTCACAGCTTTAGTTCTTCTTAAGGTATATACTGGATTAAGACCAGGTCAGGTAACTGCTCCTCTTCCTGACAAATCTACCACAGAGTAGGAAGCAAAGGACAGTCAGACCACCTGCAAAGTTTAATTACTTGGTTTATGGTCTGGGTTTTGGAGGGAGCCCTCATTCTCTCCCCATCTCCCTCGGATGAAGATTTATTTATCAGTGCTAACCCCAACAGACAGTCCACCAGCACCTGTTTTTCCAGCACCACCAGGAATTTTCCACATGAGGTCCACTAATCCTCTAAACAAACTCACATGACTGAACATATAAACAAGCATCTCAGAAATAATTGCCAGAAAGATTAAGAAAAACAGAATTTCATATTTTTATGCAATGTTTGTGACTTTTACCTACTCTTTCCCCTAGCACTCATCCTACCCATTCAGGCTAGGAGTTCAAAATTTTTCAACACTTGTTATCAGGATTATCTAGCAAGTTGTTGGAAAGTTTTTAAAGGTGGTAAACAACAGAGCAGAGCATGACTCCATCCAGAGGTACAAGAAATACATTATGTACCAGAGGTGGGGAAAGAAAGGCAAAGAGAGAACAAGCTCACTGTGGCAGTCCACCATATTCCAGTTGAAGCCATCACTCAAATTTCAAGACAATGTTGCTATGGTCCCTTTTACGCAGCCTACAAATTCTCAGCAACACAATGTACAAGTTGAATTAATGCCTTGTGCAAAGGATTCCCACAATGTAAAGGGGTTTTTTGTTGCCTTCTGAAAATAATGTATCTTCAAGGAAAGTATGGCAGTGTAAGGACAACAGGTTGTAAACGCAAGGACTATCAGGTGTGCTTGGTATTATGTATCTAAATATTGCCTGTCTTTAAAAAAGAAGAATTAAAATGGTGCTTAGAAAGATGGGAATGACTTTGTATCTTCTTTTTGGAGGAATAATTAAGTAACAGAAATCTGAGCGTTTAACCAACAACTTGTAATCCAGTGTACTAATCCCCACAGCACGTGTCCATCTGGTATCTCTTGATCTTTCCTCAGACTGCTAAAGCCTCACATCCGAGACTGCTCCATTTGTGCTGCACCTGAGGCACAACAGGGTTCTTCCAGGCCCACTGTTGCTCTTGCGCACTCCAGTAACACCAATCATAAGCATGTAACCATAACCACGACACTGACACTAATAATTCGGGAATCAGTTGTGCTGGCAGAATATACGCCAGGGATCGTAAGAGATCTCCAAGTGCCAAACGCCAGGGGATACAGCGTCTGCTGTCTCCTCCCAGGGCTCCATGTTCACCCCAGGCAGGACCATGACTGTACCATTCACCAGTGAGACTGTAAACTCTCTGAGCAACAGGATGGAGGAACCCGTCGTTATGTCTCCACTGAAGATTTCCAGGTGTGGGTGTGCATCCTTATTCTATTATCTGACCCACACCTGGGCATGCCCCCCGCCTCTACCTCCTTCCACCTTGGAAAAGGAGGTGGACCACTACTTCAATATCAGGTTGAGTGTCCCCACCTCAGTGAAGCCCACCTGACCACAGGGACCCCACAGGAGAAGGGGGAGAGAGGAAACCCATCCTCTGCCCCTGTGGCTCCTGCGGGCGAGTGGGGCAGATGCTCCCACTGTTGGTCACAGACTGTGGATCCCACTGCGAAACATCCAACACTCCCCATACACTGCATATCCAGAGTACCACAATGGGGTTCTGGATGACCCTCTACAGTTGTCCTCAGGGGCAACTAGCAGGTAGTTATTACATGCTAACAAAATATGTTGATAATGGCAAATATTTAATGAACAACAATGAAAAAAAAACCTTAAAATAAATTGCAAAGCTCAGAGTTGGACAGCCCAAGATCCATTCTGGAGGTTCTAAATTTGTATCCCATAGCTGAAAAGACTCACTTCCACTACCGTAGCATCTCCTTGTAATATAACAAATTTGTGTTAAAAACTACAATGCCGGGATCACTTGTGAACAAGGCTGTGTAACTGAAAAAAGAAGCAGAATATATGAATATATTACAAGCAGCTTCCTAAGACCTAAAAATGAAGGGAGAGGGAGGAAAGAGGGGGAGTACAGCAGTTGTGACTTCTGCATGCAGAAGGAACATCTGGAAAACAGGGCTGGAGGAATTAGAAAATAAAACAGCTCTAGATAATACTGATAGGAAATGCAGGTCAAATTGCAGGGATATGATTAAGGACAGCAGAATGTTCCTGTAACAATTAAGGGATGTGCAAACAAAAAAAGCTTTGGCTAAGGAGTGCACCATCCTGGGAAAAAAAATACAGTTTATGCCGGAGCTTTTCAGCCTCAGCCACAACACTGCTGTAGCACGGAAAAGCACATCAGGTGCAAGTCCACATCACGCTCACAAGCAACTGGAAATCATCTCCAGCTGCCAAGCAAACAAAGGACATGGGACTGCTATGGAATAAGATGAAGAGTCAAGCGCTGTGGATCTTATTCCCAGCTCTGCCACAGATTTCCTGCAGAACCTTAGGCCAACAGGTTAGTCCCTCTGTGGCCATTTCCTCTTCCAATAACTATCTAAACATTAAAAGGAACAAGAAGTTTGTGGCAGCTCTATAACACAACAGATTGCTTTCAGAGAAAACAAAACAAAACAAAACAAAACAACCCTGTGCCTTATTCCACCCCTTTCCACATTAAACTTATCTCAAACATCTCCCAAGACAGGGGCACAGCGCAGCTTCACGGTACAGCCACAACCTGCTCATATCCAGTACTAGCCTTTCTGCCAAGCCCAAGGGACTGGCAGCGACCTGCCAGCAGGTTCACTGCTACCCAGCAAGAGCAAATCCCTATCCCTGCCTGTCCCAGGGCTGGGACACACTTGTAAGGGCACGGCAGGCTCTTCTGAGCATCTGCCTCTTCCCCCTGTGGTTGTCCATAACCTTCATAGTCAGCAGCAGTCCCCACGTAAGCTGTACACACACTGCGCAACAAAAACAATGACCTGACCATGACCTGATCCTGACCATGATTTCTAAACCAGTTAACATTTTTTCTATGACAAATGCACCAAGGAGCTAAACTTCAAGGGTCAAAATGTCCGCAACTTTCATGTAAGATTGTGGTGATCGGATACAATTAGAGACTGCTTTCTTTTCAGTGCCTATTCATTCTGGGCACTGGGTTCATGTCAAGGGCTGTCACACAGACCTCACTCACCACATTTTTCAGTTTCTCATCTACACCAATGTAAGAGAGATAGCTTTATCAGTTAAAGTAGTGGCACTGCTGTAGACGCAATGGTCCAGGGATATCAGCAAGACATGGCCTGCAGGGAGGTAATATCCTCTTTCAGCGTACCCAGCACTGCTGGAAAAATGAGTGTGTTTTCAGACACTCAAGTCTCCTGCAGCTCTGAAAGAAAAGCAGAAGCAAAAACGTCTCTTTTACACAAGTGCAGAAGTCCTAGCCAGAAGCCTGCCCAGTCTTCTTTACAGTATTAGTTGGTCTAACTGAAGAGTATCACCTTTCCAAGTCTGTCTCTTGTTTGTTAAAGCCACTATGACACTTGACATATGCTATGATGGAGATTAATTTAAGACCTTTTCAATTATATTTTCTTTGTCCTACCATTTCATGGCCCAAGGCAACAAATACAGTGTCAAATTCGCATGTTAATCACACTGAAACAACTTTAATTTACTCTGATGTACAAAATCTCCCAGATTTTTCAAATGAAAGATGCTATCATATGCCTACTTGCTTTGTTCCACTTCACTAAACAGACACTCTCCCTTATGCTAGACGAAAAGTTTAGCAATGGCAAATGTCAATTTTAAATGATTTGATCTGAAAGCTACATCAGATCCCATTTCAGCTAGGCTGCAGGGGAAAAGGCGGCTAGCAGTATAGCCTCTTACTTCACGAAAGAAACCATCCACGCCAACTCCCATGCTAGTGTCTTCCTCAAAGACACAGACCAAAAAAGGCCAAAGACGTGATTGTCCCCTGCAAGTGTCATGGACTCTCGGCATATTTGAATGCCACAAATCCTTGCTGATTGAAACGTTGACTGGCTCCTCTGCCCCAGCTCCATCTCGGACACTGAAAAATAACTGTCACTGGGCATGTATTACAGGGTCTAGACTGATTAGGCTTCCCTGCAGAACAAAGTGGTTTGTTTCTAACCCATCTAACAGAGTCAGCGCTATCTGCTGACCAACAGACTCTTCAACGCCGTGTGTTTCCCAAGCAGAAATGCAGAGCTCCTGTGCTTGCACTTGCTCTGAAGTTTTGGATCCTCAGAGGCTGTACGTTAGTAAGCAGAAAACCAGAGGAGAGGATTAGTGGGGGCTTTGACATTTACCCAGCTGCATGAGGGCAACCACTGTCTTGTCACCCAGCCTTCCCCCCCGCCGTAGACCCTTCAGCCTGAACGGGAAGGGGGCAGAGGAAGGGCACTGTGGAGGGCAGAAGGCGGGCGCTCACCAGCCCAGCACTCAAAGGCACAGCCAAAACAATTCCATCTGCAGGCACCATAAAGGAGAAACGGGTATCCCCCAACCCAAAGAGCAAGTGCAGAGCCAGCCAGCTGATTCCCACCCACAGCAAACCCAAGAGAGGAAGCAGAAGGAGGCTGGAACAAAGGTTGTCTTTATCATCTGTGGAGGCATGAGCGTGGGGAACCACAGAGGCAGCTGGACCTTGACTGTGGCTGTGAGACACCCCTCTTTGCAGTGATGCCCCACGGGAAGCTTTCAGCTCCACGGTTTGGGATTGCTCCTACATGGACCTGCCTTACTAAACACCTCAGGTCCTGGGAGGGCGCTCCACGTGACAAGTAAAAGGCACTTGGTGCTTACCCCTTGCAGAGAAAACAGCTCAGGTGACTGAGGAGACACCCAGCTACACCTGAAGAGAGGTTACGCACCCCTCTGAATGAGATGTGGTTAATCAGAAACAGCCAGCATCAGAGGCAGGTGGCAAGAAGACAAATCCAGCCAGCTCTCTAGCCCCCGCACATCCCACTCTCCAAGAGACACATTCACAGGATCTTCAGGCAGGACAAATGTGAGCACCTGGGCTGAACCCCTGCTTGTGGGTGGAAGCCAGCAGATGCTCCTGCAGAGGGTCTTGTCGCAGCAATTAGCAATGTCGCTCATCGTACTTTGCTTCCTTATTTCAGAAGCAGGCTTAGCAGAGCAGATTCTGCGCATGCCCTCCAAAACAAACATGTGAGAGCTGCCCCATACATGCAAGCGCAATGCTCCCTCAAGGCAGGGGGCTGGGGGCAGTAACTGCACCTTCCAGAGACAGAGGTGCACCTTCCCCTTCCCCCAGCCGCTTTGTTTGCCTTTGCTGGGGTGAGGAAACTCCAGCCATGTAAACAGGCCGCTTTTCCTGCCTACCAAGCGGCTTGCCCCTTCTGACTGCCAGGCCTCACTCTGCTAATACAGCTAAGACAGGCATTTGTCAAAGGCAGACATGTAGCTGAATATAATTCTACTTCAGCACACATACTAAATGGCCACAGCAGGACCAAATGCCATGCCTCTTTCCATGGCTGGGTATGATACCTTTCTGAATCCTCCTCTTCTGGGAAATCACGGCTTTGGAGCTCTTTCTGTTGTTTTGGGGTTTGGGGGTTTGTTTTTTGAAGGAGCACCATATGTACTACAGCAGTCCAGCCACTCGTCTTGAAGCACTGTAAGCAACAACCTATTCTAGGTGATTAATTCATTTTATTACAGCACATCGATGCGCTATGGTCTCTTACACCTAAACTTCCCACCACAGAAGGAATCTACAGGCAATGTACTAATGAACAAAACCAAACCCGAAGCATGACTGACCTATCAGGTTTCTTTAAACTAGAATGGTCTAAGCTTAAAACAACTACTGGCTAATTCTTATTCAAAGAAAAATACAGAGGACAAATAAATATATAAGTATGTACACACACACAAGTAGGATTTGCAAAAAAAAGAGCAACTGTTTGCCACAACACTTGTCAGCGTTGAGATTTATACATTTAGACTGATCCTTACTCCTACTGAATTATTGCCGCCTTCCCTCTAATTTCCAAAATTACTTATTAACCAGCTGTTCTCACAGTTAGTTTTATCAGCTGTTAGACACATAAATAAACAAATTATAAAGTAAGTACAGAGAATGATTAGAAGGAATGAAAAAGCACACTAATGCATAGTGTATTCAAATTCAGCTGTCATTCATCCAGTCTATTCCTTTAATGGCTTTTTCTTCTCACTTCTCTTTGCTGACATTTACATTAAAAGGTGCAATATCTTTCAACTTCCATTTTGAACAAATGTTCCTTGTAATAAGCAACATGGGCTTGAAAGCGTGTTTTCTGAAATGCAGTGAAAAGGTAGTTTTAATGAAGAGAAATGAGAAAACTGGAGAACAGTGAATCGTTTTGCAATCTGAATTAATGTCTATTTGGAAAAGGCTCAACTGAGGAAGGCAATGTAAGACTTTTGGCATTGCGAATTCTAATTATTTCAAGTCTTGGCAGTAATTTTATCAAATAGTAGCAATTTCATTAAAAGGTGCACTGGTAATCATCTACGTAAGGCCTCCAGAGGGGAATATATACCAATAATTGCATAATTACGTTATCATTGCTTTTATGATGGACCACATTAAATACCACAAAGAGCAGCACTGCTTTTTACTTTCTCTAGATATTTAGTTCAGTACTTTCTCCTAGAAGATTACAGCAATAAACAAGACTTTCAGATTAATAAATATGTTCATCAAATTTTGCAGAAAAGACACAGCTACCTGTATATGTCTGTATTACTTTGTATTCTCTTTTCCTTCACTGAAAGAACTGACAGATTCATGAGAAAAATCCTGGTTTTAGTAATAAGATAGCTAAAGTATTTATATAGCTCAGTTACCGAAATACAAGTCACTGCATCACATGTCATGCAACCACATGGCACACATCCGTTTAAGAAGGAGGTTTTGGAGTATTTCCCTATTTGTCCATATAAATTAACTTCATCTATTCAGTGATTGTCAATCAGCCTGCAGTAAGCTGGATTTCCCTTGTCTAACTAGCACACAAACTTTGCTACTAACTAAGACATTGGTAAAAAATTCTTGTAAAAGCATTGTTTTACAGACAATACCAAATCTAATAAACATGTTTTTAATGGCAGACCCAGTATTAGAGAAATATCTTTGCACATGCCTTCTGAAACTGTGATGAGGATAACTTCTGGAGGATTCATCAGCATGTTCTTCAGGACCTCCTTGCGTGAACAAATCTCACCTCAGGTAATCACGCTAACACCCTGTCTGTCACCGATGTTGTCTTGGAAGCGCCTTGAATACAGAGACTTGGATATATTTCTGACAATCCAGTTTCATTTCCCCAGTCTTCTGGCAAGGAGATACATAACTCAGCTCTTGAACTTAATCTCCAATGTCAGCAGAAGTCCCACTTGTAATTTTTGCTTGTAAATTGCACTTTATTTCCTAGTTTATTAATAAGCCCTATCACGAATTGCATATACATGGCATATATATATAGACAGTTGCTTATTGAAAAAGTGGTCCTCCTTCCTACCCCAGGAACGACACAGAAGAGGGCATCGCGCTGTGAGCGCGGTCTGAGTACCTGCCTAAGCAGGGAATCCCATTTCAGCATTGCTTCTGATGGTATCTAGTTTATGGGAGGAGACCAGAAATATAGGGTTTACTTCTGCTCCTTCCATTTGACCTCTTTTATTGTGCTGCATATCTCAAATCCTAGGTATGATGATATTAGCGTTACTGCAAAGTCAGCAATTTTACGTATAATACCTGGAAGTCAGACGTGCTATGGAATAGGAAACTTCAACAGCTTGTGTTACAATGAACACTACTGGGAGGAAGCTTTTATTTTGTTGAAGATAACATAATTTCTTTTCAAAGTTAAAAAGTTATGCTCATCCAGGCACAGAAAGCACTTCCATGCCATGTAAAACAGCAAACAAAGAGGCAGCAAAAGTAGAGAAAAGAATCGGGCACTGAGCAGCAGAAAATGAATGCCTCAGTACCAGGTCCTAGTGCAGAAGAGCATCTAAGGCACACGAACGGAACCACTTCAGGTAAAAATACCCTATTAAACTGCATATTTAATTTAATATTACATTAAAAGTAAAAACATAGGATTTTTATAATGAATATTTTCCTTTTTAAAAGTAAAACTATTCAACAGTAATTTTGAAAATACAACAACATAAATGTAAACTTACAACTCCTCTAATCATTAAAAAAAAATTAAAGGCAAAAAATTATTCAAGCCGTACATTTGCTGCTAACATTTTAAAGGCAATCAAACTACTGAATTCATGGAAGTCAGTCACTGAGCACCTCTAGGCAGGTTGTGCCACAGTGATAAACCAGCCTTCACATCTGGAGTTCCCTAGCAGGTGCAGGGAAAATATTTTCTTTATTTCAGTTCATTCAGTACAACTCAATTAAGCAACTAGTCCATTCAAAGAGAAGCTATTGATCAGGAGTTGGAAAAAAACATGTATCTTTTTTCCATTGCCATTCTAAGAATAAAAAGAGGTTGAGATGGACTAGTTCTGAAATTTTTACAGCATAGTGATTAGAAACCACAGTTTTGACTACAGATAGGCCTTTCAGACATTAATTCTTTATTTCAAAACATTTCTCAATGAGTTTTTTCTTCTGAATTGGCTGGCTTCTATGTGGTGTTATTTGTCTAACTGAAGACCATTTCAGAATTCCCATTTCCTTCATTGTAATCAATGCAAATCATTAGTAAAAGATCAATTATCTAATACAAGAAATGTCAACACTTTCTATTTTCATATTAAAACATACACACAAAGAATCAGAATAAGTGTACATATAACAACCTACATAATTGCTTAAATACAGGCACAGTGATTAATCAAAGTAAGTATAACATTAAGTGCAAAGGCTATATTTAATTAAAACTCTATCTCAATGGTAATAAAGGAGGTTAAACCTTTCTTTACAAAATGATTAAGTAGAAATGCAAAGCAGTTAAAATGAGGCTTACTCTTGGCTGATTTAAATCACGATTAAGAT